CGCTGTTGGTGTCTTCAGGTGAAAGGATATGCTTGTTAGCTAGCAAAGAAAGAAAAATTTTGCTGTGGGGATAGTGAATGAAGGGTGTGAGGAGGAAAGGAGAAAGATTTGGACAACAAGAGGCCTGGGAGCTGCTTTGGGGGCCAGAGACTATGATCTGCAGTGTGTTTTGTGTATATGTATGCAATGCATGCATGTAGTTGAGGTGGGGATGGGGTCTTCCTTGCCTTGGCAGGAACTCCCAGTGTAACTCAGGAAGCCACAGCAGAGCTGCAGAGCTGGCTGTGTACAGCAATATAGCCAGGTGGAGGAGTCCTTAGGAGGACACAACATTGCTGCTGATACCAATATGTCCTTCTATCAAATGGCATGGGGGAAGTAGGCACAATGAGGAGACCCGTGGAGAATAAGATGGTTAGACTAGTTCCTCAGGGGTCTCTGACAATTGGGAGGAGACGGGTAGGGAGTTGTCAGCGGCGGCCAAAGTCTTGGATGAGCAGAGGAGGCTGGGGTTGAGGTGCAGAGGTTAATGTCTGACTCCTCATTTATACCCACAGGCTGGTGCAGCCTGGGATAGTTTGGGTCTACTATGAATATTCAGCCACCACAGTCAAACTCCAGTCAGAAATCACGGTGACACAGGGATGTTCCTCCTCACACCCTTCTCCAAAAGTAGTCACTTTTCTGTCCTATGTCACTATTATATGGTACTATTTCTTGAAGACAGAACTCTGGGTTAGAGACATACTTAACCCCCCCCCCCAAAAAAAAACTGAGGAAAAATACTTTTGTTTGAATGAACTGAAAATCTGTAGAGTTGTAAACAGATTCCTTGAAATGGCAGCTTCCAAGGAGGATGCAGATTGAAGGCCTCTGGATTATGTGGGAGACATCTGGAAAGCATGGGCCAGTGGGTAGTTTGGACCTTTTTGTGCGCAGCTCTGGTCTGGCCTGGCTAGGCAGCTTTGTCAGAGCAAGACTTCCCTCCCATTCTCAGCGGATTTGGGATAATGTCGATATTTCTGCTCTCCTGCAGGTGGCGCCACAACGTAGGTTTTCAAGCAGGCGACCGCCTGAAGTTTTTATCCCTTGCACTCTAGGAGACCCAGCCAAGGGGCAGCGCTTACTGGGAGAATTTTTGTGTATAGCACCACCAGGCTCTGGTGATTTGTTTAACGAGCAAATCTGGCTTTTATCAATGTAAATAGCAGCTCTGTTCCTAGGCTAATAAAATGGTGGTAGCTAAGTGAAGGAAAACTTAAAAATTTCTTCTCTCTCCTATTAAATCTAGCCTTTTTATTCATCTATGGGAGATGAGTTCATACTTTTCTCTCCAAATCTGGCAATAAACCAAACCCTCCCTCCAGGCTTCTCCTTAGAAACAGGACTCTATGAAACAATAGGCCATTTGCTTTCCTCTCTTGTGGCCATGGGGCCAGGCAATGACCTGCCCAGTTTTACTAGCAGGCTAGGGGAGGAGTGGATGACTCGGAGGGAGACCATTGTCAGCAGGAAACAGCTAGGTGGCCTCTCACATCTCTCTTTGGCCCTCATCCACTGCCAGGGGTTGGCAGAGGTGAGAGAGCTAGAGGACTGGGACCTAATCCAGAAACATGCTTAGAAGCATTGTACACCACTGCCTTTTCCACTGTGTCTATTCACAGAGAAGAGTCAAGACAGCAGAGGACCTGCTCTTGGTGCATTATACCATTGCATAAAAAGATATGTTCATCTGAAAAGCAATGTTAACTCCTTTGTCTGTATTGCATTTGCCTTAGAGTTCCAAAGCACCAACCGATCGTGTCTCCTTTGGATGTTGCTGTAAGTCTGAGGGGTAAATGTGGCAGGTGAGAGATGGAGTCTCAATGAGAGCATGCGGGCTGCCCCAGATGATAGTGCTGAGCAGTGGCAGAGCCAGTAGGAGACACAGTGGCCTCCAGGGCAGTGACCCTACTCATTCCTCCGTGCATTCTCCAGACTTGAAGGAGAGCCAATGAGCTATCATCAAGCCCCATATTGGGGCAAATTTGGCCTTCCTGGTCTTCCTGACAAGGGTGTTCTGCTGTAACTTCCCCTTCAGATGGCCTTTCTCTGTGCTGTTCAGGACAGGGAAAGGGAAGCAAGGTAGGATGAAGTGGGGACCCACTGAGAACAGGAGAGCCAGTGGGACCCCTCATCTGCCTGTTGTTGGTCCAGCTTTCTGTGTGCATCTTCCCTGCCATTTGGCCCTGTGTCACTCTTCAGATACCACATGGAATTCATTTCGCTGAATGAAAATAAATGACACAACATGCTAGTCAGGAGATAAAGAATAATAAACACATTTTATTTGCCACTTCTGAAAAAAAAGTCTTTGACTTCTGGCCCATCCATCAGGAAATGGGTGTGGAGCTCTCAGCCATATTCATAGACACACACACACACACACACACACACACACACGCACACGCACACTGCAAGGGGCAGAAGAGTCACGTGGTGTTAAAAATACATGCTGGATGACTGACTGAGAAGGGGAACAGAGCTGTTTTCACACCTCCTCCTCCCTTTCAGCATTTTTATGGCATACACTGAAAGCCCAGTGGCAAACTTATTTGACAAGATCCTCCCTCCTGCATTTATTGAAGTAATCTGCTGGGGTTTTCCATGTGACTCTCTGGGCATGGCCTATGATAGTCCCATGTGGCAAATTTAGAGGCGTACCCCTGGAAGCAGGACAAGGTGAGGACTGCTTTATTCAGATGAGGCAGGGATCCCCTTTGATTTTGCATTGGGCGCCTTGCCAGTTTCCTTCTAGTCCCTGTCCTGTACAGACAGACATTAGGCCCTGAGGCATCCCCAGCCCTGGAAGAATGTCAAAGAAGCACCAGCATTGAGTTATCTTGTTGTGTGTTTCTCTGGACTTCTGAAACTAACTTGATATTGTGCGTTTTATCTACAGTCTGGGGCCCAGGGTTTTGAGAAGAGAGGAGCCAGATCAATGTTTTAACATAAGCTAATAAGATAATCCTTGCTGCTTTCTGGGCCATGCAGTACTCAGCAGAGAACCAGAGACTAACAGGGCTCCACGCTGTCTCCTGGATACCCTTTAACCAAAGACTCAAACTTCTGCTTGCCTCCCACTGCGGCTTGATTCATTTCCTCTTTATCAGCAAGAGTGAAGTTTCAGTGAAGTCCTGTGGGGGAGAGCCCAGCCTGAACCACATATGTGTGCTACCCACCTTGGGCTACGGTCACCCCAAAGAGTATTTCAAAGTCTCTCCAGTTTACAACTTTGATTTCTGTGAAAATATAATCCCTATAGGAAAGTGTAGACATTTATGCTGGTGTCGATCATTTGTACCTAGTAGGAAGATTCTGAGATGTTTGGATGGGAGGGAGAGTAAGGGGAGAAGTTGCTGGGTAGGAAGAAAAGTTGAGTTGAAGAAGGGACATGGTGGGTGGGTCAAAAATCATGGGTTCCTCTAGCAGGCCATCCTTGGTGGGGGCCCATGGGGAACTACAGTAGGAATGGCGTTGAGGGAGGTGTGCAGAGAGGTGAGGAAATAAGGTAGCATCCTGAGGTTTTTCTTGATCTGTGGCACATTGGGGGTTTATGCAGAGGTTTCCTAGATAGTGCAGTTCACTTCCTGTCTTCATGAATTTCCTCCTTGTCCGATTGTCTAAACCAGAGAAACCTTAAGATTTCTTTCCTAGGGCTTCTGAAACTACCTTGATGTTGGCATTATCCGTCTGGATTGTGGTCTAGGATCTAGGGTTTCAGAAAAGAGCACAGCCGGGTCAGCCTCTTAGTGCAGACATCACTGGACAGACAGATCAGGTTACCCAGAGAGCTCCGGGGCACTTGGCCATTCATGCTCTCTGGTCCTGGCCTTCTGTCCTTGGTCCTGGGCATCCTTGGCTGTCCTGCGGGAGTGCCATCGTGGGTGTGTTTGTGGGGGCTGATCATTCTGATTAGGAACGGGGATGTGCTTTGGCCTCAGCGTGTGCTGGTGTCAGCTCTGACCACCCGAGGGTCCCTCTGACCATTCGCACCCACGTCCCCTTCTTCCCAGGAGGCCGAGTGTGTTTCACTCCAAGCGCGCCTCGCGTGCGCTCAAGTCACCATGTATTCGCCCCCCGTGCCCCACACTGGCACTACCAGGGTGGCTCTGGGCAGGCGGAGGGAACCCAGGAGAGTGTGGGCCAACGTCCGCGAGGGGGAGAGCGGGCGGGTCGGCGGCCGCGGCGGGTGTGGGTTCGCGGGGAGGCGCCCCCTGCCCCCTCTGCCGGCCGCTCTCCCTCGGTCTAGACGCAGCCGCGAGCTCCGAGCCTGCGAGAGCGAGCCAGAGAGGGAGCGGCGGGCGGCGGGGAGGGGAGAGGAGGAGGCGAGGGAGGGAGGAAGGGAAACGGGAAGGGCGGGAGGGAGGAGAGGAGGACCCAGAGAGCGCCAGGCAGCTGGAGTTTTTGCAGCGCTTGGCCGGGCTTCAATGCACAGCAGCAGCGAGCCCCGGCGGCAGCAGGCAGTCCGGGAGCTCCGGCGGCGGCCGAGCCAGCGGCGGCCCAGCTCCCAGCCCCCTGCAAACTTTGCGAGCAGCCCGCCGGGGGGGCCGGGGGCGCGCCCGGGAGGCCGGGCTCGGACCGCGGCAGTGTTCTCGGCCGCCGCAGCGCCCACCGCCACCGCCGCAGCCCCGCGCCTCCCCGGGGAGCAGCCGGCCGCTCCTGCGGACCCCCAGCCCCGGCCCTTGGGCATTGCCCGCAAAGTCCCCCGGCAGGGGCGGGGGCAGCAGCGGTGCGGCCGAACACGGGCTGCCAGTGGGCGGCCGCGGCTGCCCATCGAGGCGCGCAGAGGAGCAGAGAGCGCTCCCCGGCGGGTCCCCAGCGAACTCGCCGCGCCCGGGCAGCGGCCGGGCCGGGCGAGCATGGGCGGCGCGGAGTGACGCCGCCGTGCCCGCTTGGCATCAAGGACATTCAGCCCGCGGGGGTGGGGACGAAGGGGGGGGGCAGCCCCGCGTCGCCACCGCAGCCCCCAAGAGCCGCCGCCGCCTCTGCTGCTTGGGCTCCGGGCTGGGTGGAGGAAAGGGGTGCCTGGAATCGATCCACATTTCCCGACCTTTTTGCTGGACATTACGCCCACCTTGGACGCTGCAAGAGGAGCTGTCAGGCCCCGCAGGCTCTGATTTGGTCCCCTCCGTTTTCCTGTGCTGCTCCCGGCTTCCCTGTGCCTCGGTGGAGTATTTGCGTTCGGGGCTGGGGCTGGAGGAGGCAGCCACACGCGCGCACACGCACACGTTCAGAGGAGGGCGAGAGGCAGCGGCACAGGCACCATCTGCAGTGTCAATGCGGCGCTCCGGCTGAAGGAGGGAAACGCGGCGCTTCCAGGTAAGGAGCCGGCCAGCCGAGAAGCGGGGCCGGGAGGGCGGCAAGGGCAGCGCAGGCGGAGATACCCGGGCCGGCCCCGGAGTCCTCGGCTGCCCCAGAGCCAGCCGGTTGCACACACACGCGCACGCACACAAATACACACGGGCACATAGTGCGCTCACGCACCTGCCCATGTCCCACCTGGACACCGGAGGAGGAGCAGGGATTTCCCATGTTCTTTCTCCTGTCACACTCCTGGACTCAGGACTTCTCTCACCCACGACTTTCAGGGTGGGATTCAGTGTATGACTGGCTCTCCCTCCCAGCAGGGTAGGCTGAGGGAGTGATTTTTCAGTTTCCAGTCCCTATCATCCCTAGCTGGTTTTTTAAAACAGGAGAAGTCACGGGAGGTCTTCGGAGACCCGCCCAGTGCGATCGCTGCTCCGTGGCCTTTGACACCTTGTGATTTTAAGGGTGAACACACTGATAGATATTCGGACAGGTTTTTGGAGAGCGTGGTGGCCCGGCCCGGTGCTCGGGGAGGACGCCACAGAGGCAGATGGGGCTGCAGTTCTGTAGGGCGGTGCATATCGAACAGACACTGCGTTTCCCCAGTAAGAGGCAGCACAAACGCCTTTCTGAAGCACGGCACCGCTTCCCAGGGAATGCGCCGGGATTTCAGGGAGGAAGGGGCTTAGCGTAGCGCAGCACAGCCTGAGCGTAGCTGGTCTAGGGAGGTTGCGGGGTCAGATTCTCCTTAATAGACACGACCTTACTCATGTCCTCAGTCCCTGGGACACAGCAAGCAGACAGGACCTGGGGACCTAGCACTAGGTCTCCCTCTCACCCCCCTCTCTCCCTACCCTTCCCTGGGCATGTGGGGCTGCTTTCCCCGTGCCCCTGGCTAACACTTGTCTTACGCCTTTTGAGGTATGTGGCTGGGAAAATGAAGTGGGAGGGGGAGACACAGGGCTGTAGTCCTCCCAGGGAAGAATGTCCCGTCTCTCATGATCACATCGGAGGTGTCCATCCTACAAGGCACCTTGGGTCTGCCAGCGTTCCCCAGAGCCTGGTCACTTCTGAGTGGAGATTTGCTGTCCAGAAGCCAGCGATTCAAGCTTCTGTTTTTCTGAATCGTGTCCTTTCCTTTTCTCCCTGGCTGGAGTTTCACAGGGTGTTCATTTTCAAACTTTTCCTGAAGGAGGTAGGAGGTGGGGAGCTCCAAAGGGGCTTTTTTATAGTTCCCATTTTGGGATCTAAGAGTAACTTATTTGGGGGCTCAGTTGTTGCCGAGAGAAAAGTGGGAGATTCAAATAAAACAGTATTTTGTGGTTGGATGTACATATAGCAAGCTCCTGTGATTCCCTAGCTGTCCCTTTAAGGTTGCTTTTCGGGTAACCTGACCAAAAAGAGTGGGATAAGCTTGTACCTTCTATATAAGATTATGTGTTCAGAGTGTCCCACAAATATACCAGTGGGAAAAATATGTTGGGAGTCCTCTGGAATGAGAGGCGAGGAACAAACATTCTTTTGAACAAGGAAGCCTCTGTGCTGGGCACAGAATTTGGGTTGCTTATGTAAATCCTGAAAGATGGATGCAGAAATAGGGGGCTTTTCCTGTACCCTCAGCTCTGGTATTTTCAAACTTTTTTCAGCTCTTGCAAAGGTTTCTGGCTAGTCTAGGGAGAGGAGCAGACACCCCAGGAGGGAGATTGTATTCCCGCTGTGTGCAGTGTGAGCTGCCCTTTGATTGATTGAAAAGGGTAGACAGAATAAAGCAAAGCTCTCACAATGGGGAGATTCCAGCCAGGGGAAGGAATATTATTTTCTTTTTTTAAGAATAGTGGGCACATGCGTGCACACCTACACACATCCAGATATACATATGAATTCTCAGAATCTAAGCAAATGTGGTCAATTGGTCCAACCATGTGTGACACTGAGGTCCACTTCTGTCTTCCCAGCTGTGGAAAAACTGGCACATTTCTGCATACATGCCCTTTGAGTGCATAGACAGGGAGGTTCCACGTACGCGTATGGTGGCACATGGTTTGCAGCAGAAATAGTGAGCTCCTGCAGCAGTGGATGCCTCTCAGGTAAACATTCCCTCATGGGACCTATAAGGGGCAAAAGGTTGGGGTGTAGCTCTTCCTGAATTGTTTGTACATCTCGCCTATAGACTCTTGCCTTTCTCCTTCCTCTCTTCCCTTTCTTATGTATTTACAACCTCAGGTTCTTTCATTTTAATGTCAAGCCAGCAGTCAGTCTGCTGTTGATAAACGAAACACCAGGGCTCAAAATTTCCCACATTTTCTGCACTTAGCATTGGGTATCAATTTGGTTTCTAGGACAAGGCAGTTATTAATTTAAATCTGGGTGTAAAACTGGGTGTTCATTTTCTGATTTCTTGCCTGGCTCTTGTCTGGCTCTGGAATATGCTACACTGTCATTCTCTCCCTACCACTCCTCTGTGGCATTCCCTGTAAGTTCTCTGGAGTCCTCCTCTTCAGGCAGTCAACTGCACAGGAAAAGACCCACAGTGAAGGCTTCTTCCTGGGTTCAGCCTCACAGTTGCTAGACTGTCTTTTGGTGGGTCTCCTGTGAACACAGGGCATGGGTTGCCCAGGGGTTGCTCCTTCCCAGACCCCAAAGGCTGTCCTCTGTCCTCCCAAGACTTTATCCTGGATGCCATGAACATCCTGCAAACATTTCCGGAGGAATTTACCCGAGGTGGCCAACTTGTTCTGTTTCTCCTCTGTGTCTTGCCTGCTGCGGCAGCTCCAGCTCCCTGCAAACCGGGGAAGTCTGCAAGGCAGTCTGCCTACCTTGGCCTCTGGATCCTTTAAATCACACTGAGGGCTGCTGGGAATTAAGTGGGGGCTTTCCAGGGCGGCAGCAGTCCTGAAGTGGGGAGAGTTAAGGGGGATGGGTTAGCAGTTGCTTTTAGCTCATAGTTATCACCAGGCTTTGATGCAAAGAAATCGCAGGGAGTCTGTCTCCTCCCAGCCAGCTAGGGGGCATTTCCTAGCTGCTTCTCCCCATTCTCACTCAGAGAAAGCACTCACTACACAGACAATGCACATCAGAGACCTGTTGGAGTGGATCTATGATTGGCCGTGTTGGGGCGACAGCAATACGCAAACCCAACCACGATGTATCTCGGCTGTGATTAATGTGTGCAACAGATATGCCACCCTCTGCTTGCTTCTTTTTATTTGTGTCCAGTGCTACCAGGTAGGAAACTGGTTCAGATCCTGGGCTGCTGCATAGGATTCATTTCTCTTCCTTGACAACCCCCTTTCTACTCCTCCAACACCCCTTCCTTCCTCTTTTCCATCTGTTAATCCACCTCTTGGCTTTGTGTGGGCATCCACCCGCCCATTCGCCCTCAAATTTGCGGCACTCCAAGAAATCAATATAACATGAATTTAACGACAGCTGGATGATTAAGTGTTATTTATATTTAAAAGCGGCATTTTAAAAAGATGTGGTGCTAATAAATCATAAGGCTGTTTGGGAGATGCACATGATTAGGGTAATTGGCCTATAGGCTTCAGTGAGTAATGCTTGGTCCGCACAGAGCCCTGTGAACACTGTCTCTTTAAAAGTCCCCACGGTACCGCCCTGAATGTTTACTTGCTCCCTTCTGCAGTCAGGACTGGACTTACTCTTCTGTCCCCAGTCCTTGCTGCCTAGGCTGCAGCATCCTAGTTGTGGCAGGAAGGTGGAGCCAGCCAGAGACTGAAGGGGGCTCTGCTGCTAAGTGGTAAGGAGATGGATCTTAAAAGGAAAGGCAGGCAGGGGGTCCTAATTCCCGATCAGAGGCCTTGTTCCTGAAGAAGGAGGCTGCTGCTCTGTTTGGTAAGATGATTCTTTGAAGAAAAGCTTCTGGAGTCCTACGTGGGGACCCTGTCATCTGATCATCATTCTCCCCAGGGAAGAGGCTGTTGCAGATGTAGCTGTAGTGTTGGTTTTAAACCTTATGGAAACAATGGATTGAAAAATAATACTACTACTAATGACAATGGTAGGCAGTATTTATGGAGCAGTTGGCAGATAAGTTATCATTTAATAACTTTGCATGGGTTGGCTCATTTATTCTTCAGGAGAATAAGTTGTTATTGTATCCTGAGAAGTAGTTGTTATTGTATCCCTATGTCTTCCATGATGAAACTGAAGTGAGAGAGGCTAAGAACTTTATCCAAGGTCACACAGTAGCCAAGTGGTGGAGCCAAGTCTCAGTCTGAACTGGCTCCTGTCACTATGCTGCTCACCTCCTTAGAATATATGTGCTCAGAATGTTGTCACCTCCCTGGGAAGCTTGTGGCACAGTATGGTGGGGGCTGACTTAGAATATCTGGTCAACCTCCTCCCTTGGGATGCTTCTAACCCAGGCAAATATATTTTATTTATTCTTTGAACCTCAGTATCCCCATTCTTCAAAGAGAGATGAGTCTCATCTTTGACTGTTAGCAGATTGTTAAGTTGCATGGATCTTCCTAGCAGAGTGCTCAGTTCCTGAGGGTGATTGTTTCCTTATTTGCCAACTCCTATTTCTCCTGGGAAAAACTAAGTAGGAGCGAATGAATGAGTAAGTCCCAATCTCTGCTTTTGATTCTTAGAGGCTCTAGTTGTGGTAGGAGTCTAGTTCTCCCTAGTGACTGCTTCAGATTGCTGGTACTGTGGAAATGACACTTTCTCATCAAATCCTGAAAATAAGTCCGTAAGGTAGGTATTGTGGATTCCCATTTTAAAGGCACAGGAACTTAGGCTGAGAAGAGAGTTTAAGGGAGAAGCCCCAGGCCCTAGGTTGCTAAGCAACAGATGACTGCATTCTTATCATTGCACTGCTCACAGTATGCTTCAAACTTGTTCTTTCATTCATTCATCAGCTCTAGGCTTCCAGATTTTGGAATTCAGAGGCAGGGATAAATCATGCCATGCAGGGTACCTTGGATTCTGTGGTAGTTGAGGTAGAGACTCATTAAAAGTCAATACCAATGGCCTGTGTGGGGAGAGTCATTCTGTAGCACTTCATGGAATTTTGACAGGTTCTTTGTATGCAGAGAAAAGAGTCTGGACCTGAGAGAGTACAGGCTGAGTGAGGCATCAGGAGTCACACTTTGCTGCTGAGGGATGTGGGCAGGAAGGCCCTGAGAGCCCATGGGGCAGGCTGGGTGCTGTCCTATCCCCAAACCAGGGCTAAGCTGGAAGACTCAGTCCCTCCAGTCTGCACATTTTAGGGAAAAACCACAAGTGATAGTTTGTTGTTTTTGCCTTCTTTTTCCTTCAAAAGACAGACTTTTATTCCATGCACTATTTATTTGGCTTCCCCTATACACTGGGGAGTGAGAGTTCTGCCAAACTTGGGGTGGCTAGAAGGGACACACTTGGAATTTCATCACCTCTGCTCTAGGACTACAATCAGAGTGTCGAAAATTATACAGACTTACACCAACAGGTGCTGGTGAGATCTTTGGCCCCGCTCTGGGACTGGTAAACTTGGCTTCTTCCTTCTCCTCCTAGTGTTTTCCTGATGAACCAGGATTCAAAACAGCAAATTGAATTTGGGGATGTTTTGTCACTCCAACAAAAAACAGATCACTAGCTAAGAGGATCTCTTTTCCTCAATGTGCTAAACACTGCCCACTGCAATCAATTCCTGAGGTCTAACAGAGGAGAGTCTTTTCATTATGAAGTATGAGGAAAAAAACGATGGAGGAAGAGGACACTGGAAATTTAGGAAGGAAGACACAGCTGTTTAAAGGCTTTCCTCGTTGTCCCTTAAGAATCACTTTCCTGTCTGATGTACTGCTGGAACTCTGCTTGTGTGAGCCCAGCCCACTTCCCTAGAATGAGCCCTTGGGTTTGGCCCAGAGGTCAAGAGGTGAGAAAGGAAGCAGAAGAAAGCTGGAAAATTGTTTCTTTTCCTGTGCAGGGAAAGAGGATGGCAGGTCTGGGGAACAGACATCAGGGTGTGCAGTTGAACCAGACCAAGTGGGATGTTGGCTCACATGGAATTCATTTTCTTCCTCCTCGTCTCAAACTGGCTTCCTAAAAATAGTACCTGAAAGAGAGCAGAATTTTATAAAGTTTATTCTATGGGAGTGTGAATAGGAATTATATGCACAGAAATTGTCCTGTCAATTAAGTTTCTACCCTGGGTACAAAGCAAAGCTAAAACAGTTCCTTGATGCAAGAATTCTGAGAGCTGTCACCACACTAATATGGTTTGAGGAGCCAAAAAAGTAGGTATAGCATGGAGTGGAACTGAGATCCACGAGAAACACTGGACATTTGAATGTGTACATATGTCTTTACTCTTGACTGTGAGTAAATTCAGCAGGACTCTCGCATTACACCAAGACCTGGATTTTGATAATTGTGTGCACCCTCATGCTCAAATAGAAGTGTGCCAGGTGGCAGACAGCCCACTTCTAGCCTCAGTATTTGCTCAACTATCTCCACATCTTATTCTGCTCTTGTCCTTCCAAGGCACTAGAGATTTACAGGCATGTGTATATTTTCTTGGGTTCATAGGTGATCTCTATATATTCTCTTGCTTAAAAACCACCTGTGTTGTAGGAAAAGGTAGGCTTTGCACACTGATAAATGTAAATATCCCAGTTCTGTTATTTACCAGTTAAGGGGGGTTGGAGAAAGTCACTTTCTCGTTCAATATTATTATCAACTATAAGATGAGGGGGTTGTTCTTGATTAGTGATTTAAAAATATTTTAATATGTATGTCATAGAAATCTTTATTCAAGTGAACTTCTGTATGGAGTTCTAGTGCACAGAACAGATGTGAACAGGATTTACTGGTTCAAGAACCTGGGAATCTGGGCTTGCACCCTGCCCTGTCTGTCCCTCACCCCCAGCCTCAGCCTGGTTTCCCTGGAAGATTGTTTGATTCAGTTTATTGAGGGGTTGGGTTCCAGGAGTGAAGGGAAAGGAGAAGAGCAGTAAGGAAGAAGGGAAAGAGACAATGCTACCAAACTAGCCACAGCTCCCCACCCTGACATTGGTGGTGGCTTTGTCATCACTCAGAATGTTCCTAGAGAAGTCCAGGGGTCTCATCTTAGTCTGGAGGGTAG